ACCCGCGACTCGCAGTCCTGCATGCGCTGCGCGAGCGACTCGGCGGAGAAGCCGCCGAAGACGACGGAGTGGACGGCGCCGATGCGCGCGCAGGCGAGCATGGCGACGGGCAGCTCGAGCACCATGGGCATGTAGATCGTCACGTAGTCGCCGCGCTTCACGCCTTGCGACCGCAGATACGCCGCCGTCTGCTTCACGCGCTCCAGCAGCTCCGCGTACGTCAGCGTGACGGAATCCGTCTCGTTGTTGCCCTCCCAGAAGAACGCGACGCGGTGCCCCTGCCCCTGCTCCACCCAACGGTCAACGGCGTTGTAGCAGATGTTGGTCGCGCCGCCTTTGAACCACTCCACGTTCACGCGCCCGCGCCGCACGTCCAGGTTCTCTGAATGCACCTTGCCGTCGGGCGACACGGGGAAGGGCGTGCGCCAATAGAACTGCCGCGCCAGGTCCGCCCAGAACGCGTCGGGTTCCTCAATTGAGCGCCGGTACATCTCTTCGTACTGTAACGGGAGATGACATGGGACGGCACAGGGAGGAACGGTGATTGGCACCACAATTTTCTTGTGTGTTGTCCACATATTTTCGGAATTACATGCTCGATTTGTCTCTCAGGGGAAAAATCTATCATCGACGAGCGACGAGTGACGAGCCACATCAATGTTGCTCGCGAATTATGCTTGTTTTAGTGGCCCGCCACCCAATTCTCACCTGCGCATAATCCTTCACGAGCGCCTGCGCGCGGAACTCCGCAGACGCCGTCACTTCCTCCCCCGCCTCGTGCGCCACTGCAATCTCCTCCGACGGCTTCGTCGCAGGCCTCACGTCCGCCAGCGCCGCGCGCGCCGGCGGAAGCCGCATTCTCCTGGCGCCGGCAGAATGGCTGCCCTTTTTCGACCGCGCTGCTGCATTGCGCAGGCAGCGCAAAACCGCCGCGTCACTCCCTAGGAACGCACTGCGCGCCGACGACGAAGCTTCAGCGGCGACGGGCTTGCTGACGGCCGCGAGCGGCTGCCGTGCGGCAACGCGAGCAGAGATGGAACACGCCATCGTGGACTCTTGACGTCAGGATGGCGACCTGGACAACAGGACGGCGACTCTAGGCGCACGCAGATATAGTCGAGTGTCGTGCTCGAAGAGAATGGGCACCTGTTGCTTGCAAACGGAGGATGAAGCTGAAGAAGGTGCGAGGGAGATAGAGAGGTGCGTAATACTGAACGATGAATGAAGGGTCGTGCACATATATGCTGCTCGAGGTCGAAATAGTTGAGGAAAATGGCGCCCCAGCGAGGGTTGTGTTTCTGCGAGTGCGATGAGGAAGTGGGACGCGGAACGCAGTTTCGTAACCTGGTAACGGCGTGCTGTCGTCCAAATCAGGAAAGGTTCACTTTGGCCAATCACAACAGCTGGAGCAACGGTTGTGGCTCTACGCAATTGACGGGTGACACGCGCATCGCGAGCGAGTTCATCGGTTTGGCCATGGGAAAGTTGATCTGGAGCAGTTTGTGTGAGCTGGTGTGGGGGTTCACGACTCCCGCCGAATTGCTCGGGGGAATGCTGCTGTTTATCCAGACACGTGGGACGAGTCCGACTTCGACGAAGCTTATTTGAGATTTCCAGTGGTCCCATTCAATATCTTCGTTTTAACACCAGTGTATACGTGAACCTTGTACCCCTGCGATTTCGAAAATATGTATGATCCCCATGGTCGAACAAAAACCAAACACAAAGTCCATGCGGTAAAACAAAAGACCTCAAACATTCCCCCCGATAGTAGAAGCATTTTTGTCTGGAAGCCTGTCGGTGACACGTCAGATGTCGCTATACGGTTACAACCATCACCGAAAACCTTATACAAAGAGAGCCAATCACAATCGCTCCACTTTTGGCTTGGGAGGGGCACTTTCTTGCCGAGTGAGCAGCTAGCTGTACAGTACAGCTCAGGCGGAGCAAGGATTGTAGCCTTGGGGGACGAAATGCGAGTGGAGACTGGAGAGCACCCGCGTACAGCTGCGAGGGGAATTTAGTCGCTTTTTTTTTCCGCTTGTCCCCCCACTCAACGCATTTCCTCGCTGTCCCCAAACCTACCCAACCCGCCCAACCATACCGAACCCAAGCCTCTTGCGGCACATGAGCGAGCGGACCGTCGGGTTGAGCAGCATGGCGCGGAGCGGTGCGGAGGCGCAAGGAAGGGACGAGATGGGCGCACAGCAGAAAGAAGGAGCGCATCGTCCACAGTCGGCACAGCAGCATCCGTTGTGGCAGTTGCGGCCAGGCACACGCTTCTTCTCGACAAGCCGCCTCCCAGTTTTCTTGCTGTTTCTAGCTCCACGCACTCAACTTGCTCCTCGAAGCAATGTTAGTCCGTGACCAGCCTTGTTCAGTGTTCCCTACTCCTGACTTAACGCTGTTCCTCTGCGCATCTCAGAAGTAGTTTTTTTTTTTCTGCGTTGTTCGCTCCGCGCATCACGCCGATCGCCACCACGGAAGAGCACTAATCAGCCGTGCGGTTCCCCCCACTGTGTCGCGCGCTCCCAGCGTAACGAAACGCTTGGCGCCTCAAACTCGACGCGCTCCCTCGGCGCGCAACGCATCAACCGCTCTTCTATCCTTTCATTGTGACTCCACCACCGCCGCAAGCCACGCATGCGAAGAGCGCAAATACCGTTGCAATGCCGATCCATAGTAGACGCTCCGCTTTCTCGCGCCACGTTCTGTTGCCGCTCCTCCTGCTCGTTCTCCCCGTCATAAGCCATGTCACCGCGCAGACCAGCGCAAAAACGTACCCGCTGTGCCCGTTCACGCAGCAGCCGCCGGCGAAGCCGAACGTGACGATGGCGCGGTGCGTGGACTCGTCGGAGCGCGCGTGCTGCGCGGACTGCAGCGACGCGAGCAACGCGCTGCACGGGCTGACGGCGAACCAGACCGTTGTGCTGGAGATGCTCAAACCCGAGATCGTCGCCATCATCGGCAACAAGGACGTGCAGGTGACTATAACGCGGCCGACCAGATCGCAGTAGCGCGCGCGTGCTAGTGACTGTAGCGAGGAGGAGCAGGTGAGAAGACAAAAACACGTGCGCGGTCTCCTATTCCATAGGTGCTAGCCAATGGGTACTCAGTAATCCAGTTCTGGGTCGCATCACCCCAATCCCTCCGCCACCCCACGGTTCCCGCTGTGCTCCCGATATCCGCGCGTGTGCATGTGCGTGTGCGCGCCGTGCGGGGGCGGGCGGTTGGCAGCAATGCGCGATGTTCGTGGGGTTCGACGCGTGCAGCTACGACCTGGAACAGCTCTATTGCGCCATCACCTGCAACCCCGGTCAGCCCCTGCCCATGCCCACGCCCATGCCCATGCCCACGCCCATGCCCATGCCCATGCCCATGCCATCACATGCCATGCGCACTACTACCCGTAAGCATACCCATATCCGTGCCATCTATGCGTCCATATGTCCATGCCATGCCCTGCCATGCCATGCCCATCCCTCCTGACCACCCACCATCTCACGCTCCTCCTCACCCCCCACGCCACCTTCTCTCCGTCTCTCCACGCCACCAGATGGCGGCACGTATGTGAAAGCCTCGACAGCGACCACTGGCGTGCTCACGGTGTGCGATGCGTACGCCACCCAGGTGTACGCCGACTGCAAGAACGTGCCCAGTGCGTGGGGAGCGAGGGGAGGGGGGAGGGGAAGTGGGGAAGAGAAGACAGACAGAGGGGCATTGAGAGGGAGAGGCAGAAGGGGGGTGTTAGTCAGAAGGGTTGCATGGGTGCATCCAGAGAGGAATTGAGGGAGCTGGCTGGGAGGCATCTCCTGTGAGGTGCTCGTGTTTATGGGTGCATGGGTGCAGGGGTTCATGCGTTTATGTGTGCATGGGTGCATGGTTTCTATGATATCCATAACCTTGCTGTGTCCTCAACGGCTCTCCTGATGGTGTTGCATGGTGGGGAACTGCATTGTGGTATTGCTCTCCTTGGGATGGTGTCATGGCACTGTCATGGATGGCATGGGCATGGATGGCATGGCATGGCATGGATGGCATGGCATGGCATGGATGGGCATGGCATGGGCATGGATGGGCATGGCATGGCATGGCAGTGATGGGGCAGGCGACACTGGGCAGCCTATTGAGCAACAAGGAGATATTCATCAAGCTCGTCTTCGGCCTGCTCTTTGCACGCTTCAGCGGCATCAACGTCACCGTCAACGTCGCCCAGGTGCCCACCACAACCGCCATAACCACCACATCCACATTTCCAATCTTGATACAGCACATTTCCCCCCATTTTTTAACCACTATTGCCGAGCCTCCAGCGCAAGCAAGCCATGACCAAGTGATGCTGTGGCCATGCCATGCAGGGGGAATCGGTGTGCTACAACGGGCCCAGCAAACCCCTACCTCCCAAGCCAGTGTGCTGTGAGACGTTCACCAACACCCCTGGCTGCTCCTTCAAAAACGACTCCCTCCTCGCGCCCTATGTCGGCCGCCCCATCAATCCCAATGCGTGTGCTGCGTACATGAATGGGTCGAGTGCGGTTGATTCCAACATCCCAGGCGCCGTGAATGCCAACAGCTCGCCGCCTTCAGGCTCGTCGGCCAGCAGCAGCAGCAGCAGCAGCAGCAGCAGCCCTCCACCCCCCAAGAATGCCCCCAAGACTGCATTGAACAGTGTCTCCGTGCTTGTCAAATCATTGGTCTTTGTGGCGTTTCCCATGCTATTCTTGTAACACTTATGTCACAAACGGCAATTGTAAGATTTGCAGTTGTGGTCAAGTTTCCTGGTACACTCCTGATTGAACTTGATTCACAGCTTGCAACCAGCTTGCGGGTTTTCATTCCTTTTCTTTTTAAATTCTGAGAAGTCCTGCCTAACGGTGTACATTTCCCCCAGACGACCCTTCAATCGGTTCAGTTTCAATTTCACACCACCTTTCCCTAAAACCATATATCGCACCTAGTTGCGTAGCGAAGCAGCGGCTGCAGCGCTGCACCGAATCGCAATGGCAGAGAATGAAAGTATCGCGCTCGCGCAGAGGGCGTGCGGAGAAAGCGGTCCGCGCATAGAGACAAGTGCGCGCGGAGCTCGTAGGATTGGTAGTGAGGACGCGGAATCATCACGGTGTGGCGCGGAGGGGCACGAGGCCCTGGAAACTTCCTCGAAAGTGAATGTTGAGAATCGGGTGGATGAGGATAGTCGCGAGGAGAAACGCGCGGGGGAGGGTAACGAGGGCGATGAAGCAGATGATGATTACTTGGTGCTGAGCGAGGTCCACGTGGCATGCCCCTCGCACCACGTCAGCACAGTCAGCACCTTCGCCTTCCGCCTGCCCCCTGCCGTGGCGGCAGCGGGATGGGCGCTACGCGGGGAAGCGGAGAATGCGGAGGGGTGGGAGGGGTCGGAAGACGCGGAGTGGGGTGGCGCGGCGGAAAGCGGTGAGGGCATAGCGGGGGAGCAGGAGAGCCGGGGGGCCGCGGAAGGGAAGCGAGTGGCGGTGGATTCGGACGGTGATCTGCTGGTGGCGCGGCGCAAGCGGCGGCGCATAGGCAGTGGTGGGGGAGGCGCAGGCGGTGGCGGCAGTGATGGCGCTGGTGGCCAGCAGAGAGGTGAGGGCGGGCGAGTGGGGTAAAGGGGTTTTGAGAGGGGGGGGAGAGGAGGGCAGGAGGGCTGGCAAGGGGGAGCGGGATGAGCTTGCTGAAGCTTCTAGTGGGCCGCGTGTTGCCTGTGATGCCGCTAACCGCGCTGCTCTCCTCCCCAATCCCCCTTGTCCGTTTCGCTCCCCTCTTCTGCTGACAGGGCAGGCCCTGTTGCGCAGCTGCCAGCAGCAGGAGTGCCACGTGGCAGGGCAGTGCAGGCGGGTGCAGGGGCGGACGAAAACGAGGATGGGGAGGGGAGCGGTGAGAGGGGGGAAGGGGAGGGGCCTGCAGAGGTGGAGGAAGCAGGCGGAGTGGAAGGCAGGAGAGAAGGGGAAGGATCGGGAGAAGGGGAAGAGGGGGGAGAAGGCGGTGGAGGGAGCGGGTGGATGAGGGTGGTGATCCGGCACACTATGAAGACCAGCATCGCCAATGTCGGCACACAGGTGAGCACGTGGGCACGTGGGACGTCGCCCTGCCCTGTTCTCACCTGCCCTGTTCTCACCTGCCCTGTTCTCACCTGCCCTCATTCACCCCACTCACACCAAGCCCCTCTGCTCTCGCCCCCTGCCCTCCACCCCCTGCTGTGCCTCACACCTCCTCTCTGCTCGCCTCCCCCATCAGCCCATACCACGCTCTCACCCCTCGTCCGCCTGCAACCCCCACTCTTCCCCCCCCAGGTGTGGAGGGCATCACTGCTGCTGGCGGACGTCATGGTGGCCAACCACCGCCTGCTGGGGGGCGCCACTGTGCTCGAGCTGGGGGCGGGCGCAGGTACACCTGGGGGCGGGCGCAGGTACACCTGGGGGCGGGCGCAGGTACACCTGGGCGGGCGCAGGTACACCTGGGGGCGTGTGGCGCTCTGGGCACAGGTGCGTGTGGGGTGAGGCGTGGCGCTGTGGGCATGTATGGTGGCTAGCGACTGTTTCAAGCTGCACCCTTGCTGCGCCTCTGCTTACCTCCTCTCTGCCCCCACTGCCCTGCCCCACCCTCCTCTGCCTGCACGGGAGCAGGGCTGGCGGGCATCACAGCGGCACACTTCGCCACCCGTGTCATCCTCACAGGTACCACCTCCCCTCACTTCACTCTCCTCTCTCTCTCCCTCCTGCCGCCGCTCCTTTGACTCTGCGTCTGCTCACCCTTCATCCCTCGCATGCCCTCACACATCTCTCTCTCACCGTCTTCCCTGCCTCTGCTCCCTGCACTGCTTCCCTGCACCCGCACTGCCATGGCCCTGCGCTTCACCAGACACAGGCGAAGGCGTGCTGCGCAATTGCGCTGCCAACGCCATCGATGCCGCCATGGCAGCCAGTGCAGCCAGTGCAGTCACGGGTTCCTCGTGGCACCCCCCCAGCCCCGTGGCAGCAGCGCTGGTTCGCCGCCTAGACTGGCGCCACGGCTGGCCAATCAGCAACCAGCTCTGGCTGCAGCAGTGCACCGGGCAGGGCGGCAGGCGCACAGGCGGGAATGGGTGGCGCAGTGGACGAGTTTAATGGGATAGACCCGTTTGGGTGGACCGAGGAGGAAGTGGGTGACGCCAGCAACGCCACCGTGCTGCTGGCTGCTGACGTCATCTACAGTGATGACATCACGCGTGCCTTCTTCGGCACCCTTCGCTCCCTCCTGCGCTGCGGCCCTCCCAAGGTGCCTCCTCTGTACCTCTCTCTCCTTTCATTCATCTTGTACCTCCCACTCCCACCATGCTTTCCACCATCCGTAACTCGCAAGCAACTCATTTATTGCCACACATGATTCACATTCTGAAAATCAACCCCAAGGTGCTACAAGTGTCAGCTCCTCCTTCCTGCTGCGTCTCATGGGCCTCATTGTCCCATTCTCACCAACCTCCCATTCTGTACCTACCTCTTCCTCTCGGCCTCTCCTTTCCCTGCCTGTATGACCCCCCCCTCCCCCCAACCAGCTCCTACTGCTGGCGTTGGAGAAGCGCTTCAACTTCTCCCTCTCCCACCTCGCCCCTGTTGCCAACGGCTACGCCGTCTTCCGCTCCCACTTCGCCGCCCAAAACGGTGCTCCCAGCTGCTACAGTGGCGGCCACTGTAGCAGCGCGCAGCAGGCAGCACAGGCAGGAGAGGCCAGCTGCAGACTGGCCGAGCAGACAGGTGGTGGGCGGGGGACGAGGGTAGATGGGTGGCAGACGGTCGTGGATGGGCGGCAGAGAGAGGGGGATGGGGACAGGGAAGGGGAGGAGGAGGGGGAAGAGGAGGAGCTGTTGGGGTGGCGCATAGACGTGGGGCAGGTACCGCAGCACGTGGTGGGGTGGGAGAGGGGGAGCGACATGGAGCTCTGGGTCATTGGCAACCAGCGGTCACTGCCGCTGGTGTGTGAGTGGATAGAGAGGGGCGTTGGTCTGTCTTTCTGCCAAGGGGGAGAAGAGCAGTGCTCCCCTCCTGAAGCCTTACAAGCAAATCCCTGAGTCCCACAGTTAAGTTCTTGATTATCTCAGTGCTTTCACATGGAAGTGCAGTCTGACAGGGCATTGTGTTCTGCAGTTGCGTGGTGCCATCTTGTTAAGCACTCGTAACCATGAAGTTATGACCTCGTACACAATCTATGATGGACTGGAACATATATACATTGGCCAGATTATGCAATTTTCTGCTCTAGAACAGTAGTGCAAGGCAAAGAGAGAATACGCAAGGCACCATAATAATGACGGCGCCACAATTGATCATCACACTCCCCGTAATGCTGCTCAGTACACGAATGGCACGAACCGCTTCACCCTCTTCATATAGGCAAGGTACCTCTCCCCGAACCGCTCCCTCAGGTGCCTCTCCTCCACGCGCGCCTTGGCGTCATGCACCGCCGCCATGGCGCACGCCGCCAGCAGCCGCGCCGTGCTGCCCGTCACGCACGCGACGGCGGCGGAGAGCAGCACGGCGGCGGCGTACATGGGGTGGCGCGCGAAGCGGTACACCCCGCCCGTCTTGAGCCCAGCGCCGTCCGTGCGCGGCTTGGGGAAGGGAGAGAAGCTTCCTGCAAGGTCGTTGAACGACGCGAGGCCAAGATACACGCTCAGCACGAGCAGCGGCACTCCCGCCACGAACGCGCCCTCGCGGACGGATTGAGACGCGCAGAAGGACAGCGGCAGGCGGAGTTTTTCTGAGACGAGCCAATCGGGAAGTGGGAAGAAGACGAGAATGATGGCGAGGAGCTGCAACGGGACCCATAGCTCTCCGCGCGTGCCTAAGGTATTTTTATCGACGATGTGCGCCCAGTAGCCTTGGCGCTTCGGCATGGTGGGCTTCTGCATCATCGGCGTGCTGGGAACTGGCATGTCTGAGCTGTCAGCAGGGCGAGACGCCATGGCTACACTTCGGAAAAGAAGCAGCGAGTGTTACGGATAATTGAAAGATAGGCGAGAATCCCTGTAAGACTGCGTTTAGATCGCTGCACGCTGGCGGAAGTAGAAGAGAAAGGGGTTTGTTGAGGAAATCAGCAGTGGTCGTGGTGCTAGTACAGCAGACAGCAGGGGTGGCTGGGATTGCAATGGGGTGAGGGCGCGAATTTCCATCAATTGTGTGTTGAAATGTTGTCTCGATCAAACATCGAGTCGCCCGGACAGTGCGGGCGTGATTGTGAGACGAGCTGACTCGGCGCATGCAACTGGTGCATCCTTATTCGACCACGTGGCGTTCCACTTTTCGCTGATCCTGCTTGCGCAATTAAAACACACGGTAAATTTCAGTGCAGTGTACAGATCGAGCGTCAAACTTTTGTTATAGCCGAAACTCGTTCTATCAGCCAAATCATTCACTACAATCACGGATCCTTCGAATTCGTCACCCCACCCAACCCCTCCATCGCGTCCACCCCACACGCAAAGCCTAAGCACCACCCTTCTTTTCCTTTCAGCTCATCGTTACTCGCTCCATGCTAGCGCACTCACCGCGTGTTCCGCTCGGCCCGTCGCGACCACTCCGCGATTTTCCCACCGCCAACTCAGATCGACTCGCTCATTCCGTCGCCTGTCCGCATTCGAACGAATCCCCTTTCATTTTATTCCCCGTCGTTCGATTCGCCACCATGTATCGCGGAGTGGTAACCAGATCGCTGAGCGCGGTGGCTCGTAGCAGCCGTCGGATCTCGTCCGCGGCACCCTCGAGGCGCCTCCACCAGCTTAGGAACCAGAATCTCTTGCCCTACGCTCCCGAGACCACCCCGGTTTTCGGATCGTGCGGCGGGAAAGGCTCGTTACTGGCAGGCTGCAATCGCAGCCGTTGGATCCACCCGTCGTTTGCGGCGCGAGGGTTTGCAACGTCGTCGACCGATGCGGGGCTTCTGAAGGTTCTTAAAGCGGAGCTGGAGCACGAGGAGCAGGACTACGAGCCGCCCGAAGTGAGTTCCTCCGTTTAGTGCACAGTGCGGCGCGCGCGACGGTGAGGTTGACATGGCGGAGCGCTTACAGCTGAAAATTGTAGAATGCGTCGTGGATCGACGGCCTGAATCAGGGTTGTTTAGTTGGAATCGCTACGCAGTCAGATCCATCATCGTGCTTTCAGCGATGCCTCTTCCTCCTCCTCTCCCTCTCATATCCCGCTGGTCACTCCCTCAACGTTCCCCCCATCCCCCAACCCCTCCTTCTCCCCCAACCCCTCCTTCAACCCCGCATTCCCCCATTTCCCCATTCCCCCATTTCCCCGTTCCCCCACTTCCCCACACCCACGTCCCCCCATCCCCCCAGGACCTGAAGGAGGGGCCCCCCGCGGAGTGGACGGTGGAGGAGCAGGCGGGCACCATCGACGCGGTGCTGAAAAGAACGTACCAGGGGGAGGCGATATCCGTCGTCGCCGCCTTCGCGGACGACGACGAGGCGTATCCAGAGGAGGGCGAGGGGGAGAGCGAGGAGGAGGACGAGGAGGGGGAGGGGGAGCGCCTCACGCCGCTGTCGGTGCGCGTGACCGTTGCCAAGAAGGCGGATCAGCCGGAGCTGGAGATCGACTGCGTGGTGGACGGCAACTCTTGGATTATTCAGGACGTGCGTCTGGAGGACCCCGACGTGCCCGAGGACGGCATTCCCTATGGCGGCCCGCAGTTCTCGTGAGTGCATTCCCCTCTCCATCTGCTCCCCCTGTTCCTTCGTCCCCTTTTTTCACACACCCCCATTCCCCTTTCCTTCCCCCTTCACTGCGTCTTCGCATTTTTGCTTTGTTCAAACCGTCCTATGCCCACAGTCCTAAGCAAACTAGCTGTTCCGCGCATTCTACCCTTTTACTAACTCACCTTCTCCATCCCCTCCCAGTTCACCCTGCGCCTTATCAAGCCCTCCTGTATTTCCATTGCTCCTCTCTCCCATCCGCACCACCTCCACACCCCCCCTCCCCCCTGGCAGCACGCTGGATCCAGTGCTGCAGGAGCAGTTTGACTCGTTCTTGAGGCGGAGGGGCATCAGCGCAGGCCTGGCGGCGTACCTGAGGCGGTACCTGGAGGACAAGGAGCAGCGCGAGTACGTGCGCTGGCTCAAGAGGCTCGGTGCCTTTGTCGCGCAAAAGTGATGATACGGTATAATGAAGGCTTTGCCTATACTAGGTATATCTACCATACAATGAACGCTTCCTAGTGGCATGACATACGGTAGTTTGGTTTGGACCTCACCTCACCCACCTCACCCCCTCATAGTTCAGGGAACTCCACAACACAACTCTCTGCAAAGACCTGTAGCCAACGCGTACCAACCCTAGATCGCTTCCCCAGATTAAAGATGCAGAGTCCTAGAGCATTCAGTGGCGCATGGCAAGCAGGCAGCAATGGCACGTAAAAATGGACTCAATCAGGGGGCACAACACAAACATGAACATATCTCACTAGGGGTGTGGGCATAAGGTGCCCAAGTGCCTACCAAGACACTCCACCCCACATCCGTAACGACTCACGCCCACTCCCCCTCTTCCAGAGGCTTCACCAGCTGCTCACTCTGCCACCCCAGCCCCTCCCTCACAAACCCCATCCACTCGTCCCCCTCACACCCACTCCCATACCCACTCTCCTCCCCACCCCCCAACTCCCCCTCTCCCCCACCGCCAACTCCCCCCTCTCCCCCCTCACCCTCCCCCGCGGCCAAGTCGCGCTGCACCTCCCCGCCAAACTCCCTCTGCAAGTCATCCGAAGCCCCAATGAGCAGCAGCTCGCACCCGGGGTGGTCCAGAAAGCCAGGTGGGTCGGCAGGGGCGAAGCGCAGCCCGTTGAGGCGGTGCTGCAGCGGCGGGGGGAAGGCTTGCAGGCGCACTGAGGGGCGGGCCAAGTAGGGCGGCCTGCTGGGCGCCTGTGGGTTCTTCACCTGCAGCACGTAGGAAGCTTCCCTCTCTATATTGAACGCCTCCTGTGGTGTCTCCACTTTCTCCCCCTCCGCCTGACCTGCACTCTTGGTTTGGCTCCCCTTGCCACAGACAGCTTCTTCCTTAACTCCTGCCTGCGCGCCCTCCCCTTCCTCCTGCCCTTGTCGCCCTCCTGCCTTCTCCTCCTCTCCCGCTGCCTCGGGCCACCGGAGTGAGTACACCAGGTGGGTGTGACTCTTCCTGCTGCTGCTGCGAGCTGCCCCTCGCCCCGTGGCCCCTCTGGCGCCAGGCACGTGGCTCACAATCAAGTACCTGGCTCACAATCAAGTACGTGGCTCACAATCAAGTACGTGGCTCACAATCAAGTACGTGGCTCACAATCAAGTACGTGGCTCACAATCAAGTACGTGGCTCACAATCAAGTACCTGCCCGCTGCTGCCGCCCGCGCTGCTGCCACATGCTGTGTGCCACGTGTCTTGGTCTCGTAGGTGTCTGCAAGGGTGGGTGCGTGAGTGGCGGGGGGAAATGGGAGCAAGACAAGCAAGGCGAGAGTTACAGATGCATGGACAAGAAAAGCCCATTCCAGAGGAAGCATTTACCGATAACTCGCCTTGGAGCAGAAAGTGAGGATGCAGGCAGTACAGAAACGTCGAAGCGATCAGTTGAGCGTGCAGTGAGTGGCCGTTTACCCACCTCCCTCAAGCGCCGCCCTGATGTCCTCCACGTGGGGGGACACGGCATCCACATAGCCCCAGTGTGGTCGAGAGCGGTGCGAGGGGGTGGGCAGCAGCTTGCGCCCCACCACCAGCAGGCGCAGAGGGGGCCTTTCCTCCGCCTTCCCTTCCTCTGCCCCCCTATTGTCTCCCATACCGCTCGCCACACCCTTTTCTTCCTCCTGCTGCTGTTCCTGCTGCTCCTTCTTTTCCTCGTCCTCTTGCTTGCTCTGCTTACCCCTCTCCCCTTCCCCCTCCCCCTCCACTTTTTCCTCCACCGCCTCTTGCTTCACCTGCTTCCTCCTCAGCCCCTCCCGTCCTGCCTCCCCCTTCTCATCCCCCTCCCGTCCTGCCTCCCCCTTCTCATCCCCCTCCCGTCCTGCCTCCCCCTTCTCATCCCCCTCCCGTCCTGCCTCCCCCTTCTCATCCCCCTCACCCTCTCCTCTCGCCCTCTTCCTCCCATCTCCATCTCCCCCCTCCTCCCTCTTGACACCTTCCGCGTCACCATCACCCCTTTCCCTCACTCCGCTCTCCCCCGCCACCTCCCTGTCGGCTGCATCCCCTCCCTCCGCCTTCACCCCTCGAGCCTGCCCCGGCTGCTCTTCCTCCGCCTTCCGCGCTTCCCCTCTGACCTTTCCCTCCGCCTCCTCCGCCTTTCCCCCGCCATACGCGCGCTCGCCGCTGTCCAGCGGGCGGAGCAACATGTAGAAGCGCTGAACTTCATCCACGCTATGCGCCTCCTCGCGATTCACTTTAGGGCGGTAAAAGAAGAAAATATCGCCTCGTTCCTGATGAATTCCCATCCATCCAAGCACGAGACAAAAAGGTAAGCGTCCGTGAAACAAGTGCGAAAAGCGGAGGGCGCCATGGCGATGCGCGTGGAGCGGCGCGGACGGCGCAGACCGCACTGAAAGCCATCTTCACATCGTGAACTCACCAGAACGAGGTAGGGCTTGTGTATGTCAACCATGGTCGGAGGTCGAGAGGGATGGACGGCATGGATCGACGTGCACTATATCGTATACCACACGATTGGCCAGTGCGCCGGTAGTCGCAGCGGTCCTTCTTTCGCCCTCGGAAAAGTTCACTCCTCCCGTCACAAGGGACAAGCTCTCAGTTCGCAGATCGCCTCTCATGTCGACTCGTAAGGTGTGTGGCTCTAGTGAATAGATAGCAATCGTAGCGCGGTTTTCCTGCGCCATGTGGTGCTGAGAACCTGGATGTGGATATGGGGCTGCATGGCTCGAAGAGAAACTATGATTGTACGGCATTGTAAGCGATTCGCTTGGGATTAAAGATTTACTATATACACGTTTAGCAGTCCATTGAAGTATTTTTCTTGCCGTTTCAACAGTTCATAGATTCTCCCTGCTTTCCAGACCCCACTGACCTGGACAGCTTGTCGTCTTGCGTGTTTCAAATTGTTTTGCGTCACGCTGGAACTGCCACCCAAGGTTGTCACTGTAGTCGCTCGTACCCAACCCGCTGATTTCTAGGTCTCTAAACGAAACGAACCAAACTCGAAAAGTGGGGCAATCCCAAGGCTGCTGTGCGTGTTCCCGTTCCGTGCCGATCTGCGCGCGCACCGCCCAACCAAACCGTGCTCCTCAGCTCCTACTGGCTCCCTCTCTCTGCTCACTTTCTCCCACTTGCTTCTCTCCGCTCGCGTTTCTCCCCTGCTGCCTGTTCCACTTCACCTGCTGCTTCCTGTTTCTAGCCACCATTCTTCCGCGTTTCACGTTAGGCGTCCACGGATCACCTCTTCGCGTTTCACAAGCGAGCGGTTTAGTTTCAAATGATATACTACTTTAGGTCTCTCGCGGCGCATGGGTTCGTATCCACAGCGTTCCTTCGCGTTGTTTAAATCAGTGCCGAGTCGGTTTTGAAGCCGAGGATGTCGGGAACGCTGATTGGTCAGGAGCTGGAGCCTTCTCTGCTCGTAGACCTGGAGCTGCACTCGCCGCGTGATCCGGAGCTTCATGCGAGTCAGCATGCGCATCAGCAGCAGCTGGGCGGGAAAATGGAGTACAATTACCTCCAGGCACGTTTCGCGGAACCGAGCCTTTATGTTTGTTTCCAGGAAGGAAGCAGAATAAGGGAATTGCGTTACGCGGCGACGTCCTTATTGACGGTTCTTGTTACGACGCCATTCCGGCGTATTTCCGCGTTAGAGTTTTTTTTTGGCGTATGTCGAAGACTGGATGTAACCTGTAAGCAGCAGGTTTCTGCATTGCCATCGACGCATCAACAGCAGCACGGCTATATCTTAACCTGATCTCGATGCTGGATTAGGGCTTGGATTAAGGTCACACGCGACGGTGCGACTTCGTTGGTACTGCGACGCGGTAGTGCCTGGACAAGCGGTTTGACTTAGTGGCCTCGATAGAGCTCCCCGCTGATACATAGCTGTCAGGGAAATACTGCGGCTTAGGGCCGCTGATCAAGTAGCTAATGGAACGCCTTTTAAGGATTTATGAATTCGTTTACTCAAGCGGTTACTAAATAACGTGTACTATTCTTCGAGTACATTGCTTCCCGTTCTTAAGTGGACGATTAGTACATCGTTTTTGTTAATACGCATCGATAGGACTGTGTCCACTGCTTCCCCCCACAACTGCGCACTCCTCCTCTTATCACTCCTCCCGCGCGTAGATCCCTCTCTCTCTCTCTCTCTCCCCACATACACGAAAACCGCATGTTGTTAGGTTTCCCGAGCAAAAATAACAATCCTCATCCTTATCCCCGCTCACGTGCAATCCGCGCGTGCCTGTGTGCGCATGTGATGCCGGTGGGTGCGCGCAGCGGGTGAAGGTGTACCGCCTGAACGACGACGGCAAGTGGGACGACAAGGGCACGGGCCACGTGTCCGTCGAGTATCTCGAGGTGAGGCCCGGGGACAGGCACGGGGGAGGGTGAGAACGGAGCAGACTCGCCTGCCCGATCTGCCATTCGTTCTGCAGAAACCGCACGCTCGTGTCTAGCCCGACGTTCTAACACTCGCTTTCCTCTCCCCCTCCTCGTACCCGTGCGTGGCGGGGCTATGCGTGGGTGGCGTGGCACGTTGGCAGCGGTCGGACGCGATAGGGCTGGTGGTGATCGACGAGGAGGACAACGCCACGCTGCTGGTGTGTCCTAAACACGTGAAAGTCCCATCAAATACTTGTCTTTCTGCCTTTCCTCCTGTCACCCATGTGGCAGCGGTCGGACGCGATAGGGCTGGTGGTGATCGACGAGGAGGACAACGCCACGCTGCTCGTGCACCGCATCTCCACCGACGACATCTACCAGCGCCAGGAAGGTACCTACCGCCGGGGGGAGCTACACCCAGGGGAGGTTGCGCTGGGGGGAAGCAGACCTAGAGGTAGCGCCAGGGGAGTTAGAGCCAGGGGAGGTAGCTCTGGAAAGGTAGCCTCACTTGGAAAGGTAGCGCTAGGGAAGGTTGTTCCAGGGAAGTGCAGAAGGCAGGCTCTTGGTTTCCACAGCGATCATCCCTTCCCCTTCCCCCTTTTCACCCCGTTCACCCGGATCAACCCACTTGTTCCTCTCCCCCCTTCCCCCCCCCCCCCCAACTTCATCAGACACCATCATCTCGTGGACGGACCCCGAGGTGGCGACGGACCTGGCGCTCAGCTTCCAGGAGAGCATGGGCTGTGCTTATATCTGGTGAGACGCGTGAGGTGTGCGTGTACGCAATAAGAAGCTTGCACACTTTTTTTCATCACTGGGGTATTTGACAATCAACGTTCGGCCCTTAATCATCTGGTTTTTGAAGAACCATCTTTTCGTCAGCTCTCCCTGTGTCTCTTACCTCCGTCCTCATCTCTCCTTCCCACTGTGTCTCTTCTTCTCTGCGTCTGCCTTTCCCCCTATGCCCAAACCCTTCTCTCTGGGTGGCAGGGATCAAATCTGCAACGTGCAGCGCCAGATCCAGCTGCCCTCCGTCCTCGGTAGGCAGTGTGCCGTCCGGCCCCTCGCGGCTTGTTGTTTGTATCAGCCGAGCTGGGCTTCACACGCCCTCACACTCCTCATCCTCTCGTATCCCTACAAAGCACTCTCACTTTGCTACCCTCTCACCGTGTCGCCAGTAGCTCATCCCGCCTCCCCCTCTCCCTACCCCTCCCCACTCCCCCTCTCCCCACCACCTCTCCCCCTCCCTGTCACTCTTCCCCTCCCTTCTCTTCTCAATCCCCCCCAACCCCTCCACATGCAGCAACGGAGGTGGCAAAAGACTCATCGGAGCTGCCAGCAGTGGAGACCCGCACACTGCCAGCCATCGCTAAGGTCTGCAGCCTGCTCACCTCGCACCCCCCTCCCCCTCCCCCCCCCCCTCCTCCACTCCCCCCCACCCCCCCCCTTCCTCCACACTCACACACACACACCCACGCCCCTCTTCTTCACTGCCATCAGCACCGTTGCCCTCCCTTATCCTTGACCACTTGTCGTCTCCTTCGCTTCAGACTGCTCTCGCCTTTCCCCTCACCCCCATCCCCCCTCGTCCATCCCCCCTCTTCACCCCCATCCCCCTCCTCTCCCCCGTGCAGCTGGTGACGGACGTGTCCCCCTTCCACCGGGACCGAATGGCGTCCCTCATCCTCCGCGAGGTGATCCGCTCGCCCCCCGCCCTCCTTCCGCCACGCCTCTCTTCTCCCTTTCTGCACCCATCCCCTCCTTTCTCTTCGATTGCTTCTCTGCTCTTCTTTTTTCACTCTCCTAACACTTACCCTCACCCTGTTCCACTATCCTCGCCCTTCCCCTCTTCCCAACCAACACCACTCACTCCTCTCCTCTACCCTCCCTCCTTTCCCGCCCCTCAACCCTCACCACCCCATTTTATCCCACAGGGCTACGTGCAGCGGCTGGTGGCGCTGTTCAGGGCGAGTGAGGGCGCCCATGACACCCCCGCGCTGCACCACCTCTACCGCGTCTTTAAAGGCCTCGGTGCGCCCGCCCCTGCCCCTGCCCTGCCCTGCCCTGCCCTGCCCTGCCCCGCGCTGCCCTGCTGCTTTGCACTCTGCTGCTGTCCGTTCTGCTGGACTGGTATCACCCGCGGTCGCTGTGTGCTGCACCACTCCATCCATATCCTCCATCCTCCCGCCATTCTCTCTCCATCTCCCCACCCGCCTGACTTCCAACTCCCCCATTCTCTTCGCCCTCCCCTCTTACCCTCTCTCCGCTCCCCATCCCTCTCCGGGCAGTGCTGTTGAACGACTCACAGCTGTTGGAGCAGCTGTTTGCACCGGATGCCATCATGGACGTCATTGGCGCACTCGAGTGTGAGTCACCATGCTGCCATGCCATGCCATGCCATGCCCGCATATCAGCATGCCACCAAGCCACCATTCCACCATGCCAACATGCCGCCATGTTTCCCCCACCGCCTCCCACATGCCTCACCTGCCACGTGTACCTCATGTGTGGCTCTAATCTCCCCTTGCCCCAACTCTCCTCACCTCACCTCTCCCTTCCCTTCCTGGTCCCGCCTGACCTTTTTCCTCCCCAATCTTCCCCAACTCCTTCTCCCCGTCGCCCTGCTGTGCAGACGACCCGGACGTGGCGAGCAGGCAGCAGCACCGTGCGAGTGTGCAGCAGCAGGCGGTGTACCGCGAGGCGCTGCCCATCCCCAGCGCCGCCCTGCTCGCCAAGATCCACCAGACGTACCGCCTCGGGTACATCAAGGTGAGACTCGTGGCGTGCTGTGTTGTGCTGTGCTGTGCTGTGCTGTGCTGGTCAATGCAGTCAACGCGGTCAACTCTGCCCATCCCCAGTGCCGCCCTGCTTGCCAAGATCCACCAGACGTACCGCCTGGGGTACATCAAGGTGAGACTCGTGGCGTGCTGTGCCTGTGCTGGTCAAGGTCAGTCAACCCAGTCAACCTGCCCATCCCCAGCGCCGCCCTGCTCGCCAAGATCCACCAGACGTACCGCCTGGGGTACATCAAGGTGCGATGCGTGGCTTGCTGTGAGAATCAGGTCCTCGGGTCAACGAGTCAGCACAACACATTCAATGCAGTCAGCACAGTCACAGTTGAGAGAGTGGGGAATGATAGGAGGGAAGCGGTGTGGAGAGGGAATCACAGTGGCATTGGCTGAGTCAAGTCAATGTTGTCAAGCGCCTGATCCTATCACTGCCTTTCTTAACCCGTGTGCTGTCACACCCCGCTGTGACTATCACAGGATGTGATTCTACCGAGGGCCCTGGACGACCAGACGTTCAGCAGCATCAACTCGCTCATTCTCTTCAACAACGTCGAGGTGCAACCTCCCTCCTCCCTCCTTCATTTCCTCGCTCCTCCGTTTCGTCCATATCACTCACGGCAACACTCTCCTCTCCACCCACCCCGTCGCCCTCTCCTCCCACCAGAGCAACACTCCTTTATCACATCCTCCTGCCCTGCTCCACCACGCCACACCCCACTCCACTCCCGTTAACCATCTCGCCACCTCTTCTCTCCCTTCTCTTCTCCATCCGCACCACTCATCAGGTGGTGACAACACTACACAGCAACAAGCCCTTCCTGGCGGACCTCTTTGCGCGCCTGCGCGCCTCTGACCCCCACTCGCCCCAATTCACTGACCTCGTGAGTCCTCCTCTCCTCCACCTCCTTCCCTTGCTCCTCTCACTCCACTCGCCTGTCACCCGCGACCTGGGCTTCACAAACTGACTGCTTCCCTGTTTTACGCAATCAACCCCTCTTCTCCTCCCCACTCCCTCCCCTCTCTCCTACCCCACCTCCCCCCAGGTGCGGTTTCTGCAGGAGTTCTGCGCGCTGCACAAGCACCTGCAGCTCGCCCAGCGCACCTCCTTCTTCAGGTGCCGCCCAACCCACTCGCCCTCATGCCTCCATGCCACACCCGTCCTCCACCTCGCCTGCCACATTCGGGCATCCTGCTTCTGAACACCCACTCTCTGCGTCATCCTGCTGATGACCACCCCAATTCCTTGTCTTTCCACTCTTTGACTGGACTTGAGAAACCCTTCCCTGCCCTTCTCTCTCTCCCACCCGCCTCCCCTAACCATCGGTGGGCAGTGCGCTGATAGCGCTGGGCCTCTTTGACGTGTGTACGCTCGTCATGCAGCACCCTCTGCACTCTGTTCGCCTCTCTGGGTGAGACACACCACCCTTGCCTTTTCCCATGCGCCTTTGGTCCCCATCTTGTCGTCTCATCTATCAATCGCTCCTTCTTTCAATGCGCATGTGGGCCCGCCACTCACTCTGTTCCTGCCGTCCTCCTCATCGCCCTCGTCATTCCCTTCCCTTAACTTCTTCCTTTCCCCTCTCCCCCCCCCCCCCCAACCCCCACCTCCCACTGTGCAGAATCGACATACTCATGTCGCTCATGGTGCCAGACCCCGCCCCGCTACGCACGTTCCTCGTGGAGCAACCCAACCACGCCCTCCTCTCCTGCCTCGTATGCTCTATCTCACTCAACCCCTCCGCTCTTTCGTTGTGTCTCTCCTCACGCCCTCTCTCCACGCCACTGAGTGTTCTCAGAAGCGAATGTCTTATTCCGTCCTCCCTCTCATCCCATCCCATGTACGCACCCTATACTGTGCTATGGTGTGGTGGGAGCAGGTGCGCGGCATGGTGGCGTGCAGGCAGGCGGAAGGAGGGCTGCACGCACAGCTGCTGGAGATGCTGAGAGTGCTGCTGGACCCTGATACCATGGACGCGGTGAGGCTCCGTACATTCGCTGTCACTAGTAGAATTTGTATGGTGAGCTGCATGCTAGGTGCGTGCAGGGATGCAGCAGCAGTGCCGTGCAGCTGCAGGAGATGCTGCGAGTGCTGCTCCACCCTGATACCATGGACGCGGTGAGGCTCAGAAGAATGATGAGATCACTAGTAGGATTAGTACTAGTACTGTAGGATGTATGCTGGGAGGGATGCACCCATACTGTACGGCAGTGGTGCAGTGCAACCATGAGTGGGTGCTGCCAGGCATGCACACACGCGCTGCCTTGTCACATCCTCACATGCATCATTCAGGAGATGGTGTGCAGACGGTGCATGCATCGTTCACACCAGGGGACCTACTTCATGTCCTTTTCTCTTGTACTCTTCTCTTCTCCCTGTCGCCCCCTCTCCCACCTAACCTGCCAGGCCGACAAGAGCAAGTTTCTTGATCTCTTCTACGAGGACTACCTTCAGCTGCTCATCTCAGCCGTTGTTGCGGGCACCAGCGCATCTCAGCCGTCCACGTTCCCAGCTGCTGCCCGAAATTCCACCGGGGCTATGAAGAAGAGGCGGGCAGCTCAGGGGAGGGCAGATGGTGGGGGGAGCGGGAGAGTAGACAGAGAAGCGGGGAGAGGAGCAGGAGGCAGGGGTGATGATGCAGAACCAGCAGAGAGGGATGGAGCAGAAGGACGGGAAGCAGAGAGAGGGGGGGCGAGGGGGGGTGGAGAGCAGGGGGGTGCAGAGGGCGAGGAGAGGCGGGGGCAAGAGCGGGGTGGTGGAGGGGGTTCCGAGGAGCCGCCATCACCGGACGTGCTGACAAGCATCTGTGACCTGCTCTGCTTCTGCGTGCAACACCACAGCTTCCGCATGAAGTGAGCGCACTCTAACTCACTCCATCGCTCCGCCGTCCCTCCCATTATTCCTTTCACCGCAGTGGAAAAGATGCCGCAACCCCTTTCTCCCCGTCTCCTTTCACCGCAGTGGAAAACGCCCCCTCTGTGTTCCGCTCCCCCCCCCCCGGGTTCCGCTCGAGGTACTACTTGCTCGGGTTTCTGCATGCTCTCAAACACCCCCTCTGTGTGTCCACCACCACCTCCCCCTTGATACCCACCCAGGTACTACGTGTTGCGCAACAGCGTGGCGGAGAAGGTGCTGCGGCTGACGCAGCGGCGGGAGAAGTACCTCTCTGTGGCCGCCATCCGCTTCCTGCGCTGCTGTGTCGTGCTCAAGGTGAGTGGCGGTCAAGTTGAGTGGCGGTCAAGTTGAGTGGCGGTCAAGGTGAGTGGCGGTCAAGTTGAGTGGCGGTCAAGTTGAAGAACCATGCACCTGTCTCACCATCACCCCACCTTCCCCGCCTCCCCCTGCCCTCTCGCCTCACCCTTCCCCACCTGCCAGGACGACTTCTACGTGTGCTATCTGGTGAGGAACCTCCTGCTGGACCCGGTCATGGCGGCCTTCTGAGTCCTCTCACTCACTAGTCGCCCTCCGCCCCCCTGTGGCCACCATGTACCCCTCTCCTCCCCTCCCCCGCCCCGCACCCCTCACAATCACAGGACGGCTTCTACGTGCGCTATCTGGTGAAGAACCGTCTGCTGGACCCGGTAATGGCGGCCTTCCGCGTCAACGGGGCGCGCTACAACCTCCTCAACTCCGCCGTGCTTGAACTCATTGACTTCGTGCGCAAGGTACGAATACAAGGGAAAAGAGGGAAAGGGGGGAAACGGGCAAGGATGGGTGGAAGGAAGGCGGATGTGGCCTTTTGGACTTGTCAATTGTTGCGCTGAAGCTCTTTGACTTGCCATGCCACTGTCACTCTCACTCTCACTGCCCCTATACTGTCGTGTCACGTGCACTCCATGCATGAACGCACTCCATGCATGAACGCACTCCATGCATGAACGCACTCCATGCATGAACGCACTCCATGCATGAACGCACTCCATGCATGAACGCACTCCCCAGGAGAACGTGAGGCCGCTGGTGGCGTACATAGTGGAGTCGTACGGCTCGTGGCTTGACTGCATTGACTACGTTGACTCCTTCAAGCTGCTCCGACTCAAATACGAACAGGTGAGAGGGATGGCACACAGGCATGCAGGTCCGCCGAGAATGCAGGGCAAGGGTGGTGGTGGAATAGGGCCCTCATGAACCCCTCATGCCTTCACTCTCGCATGCTCTCATGCCATTGCCATCCTTCCCATTTCTCCCTCCATGCAACCCCCCCATTGCTCCCTTGATTGCTCTCACCATTTCTCCCCTGACTTCTCCCCCCATCGCTCCCCCCTTTGCCTCCCGCATGACCCCCTCCACAGAATCTCGAGTCCAACAGACCAGCTGTGCCTCCCCCTGTCGTCATTCTCCCCCCTTCCACCTCCCACCACCACCACCACCATCATCACCACCCGCACCAGCACCACCATCAGCAGCAGCAGCAGCATCCGCTCTCCTCTCCCCCCGCATCTCCTCCCCTTCCCACTGCTGCAACTGCGGGCATGGAAAGACATGACAATGACGCTGCGAATGACGCCGCCACCGATACACGTGCGCGGGCCAATGTTGATGCTCATGCTGCTCCTTATAGTGATGCGGATGATGCTACTGATGCCGCTGATGCTGAAACCAGAGATGCTGCTGGTCACGTTGATAATACTAACAATGATGCTGCTGATGGTGGTGATGATGATGGTGAGGAGGAGGAGGAAGAGGAGGATGAGGATGAGGATGAGGAGGAGGAGGATGTGGAAGCTGAAGGCGAGGGTGGTAGCAATGACGAAACTAACGATGCCGACGCTAATGGCGGTGAAACCAAGGACGCTAACAGTAGGAACGTTCAGAGGCTTCCGAACCTCTCTGGTTCAGCAGGAGGCTCGGCACTGGGTGTTGTGCCGGTGATGGGAGGGGAATGGGATGGGGGCGACGAAGGAGAAGGGGGGGTGGAGGTGGAGGGTGGGAGGGGGAGAGGGAGGGGGAGAGGGAGAGGGAGAAGACAGAGAGGCAGTCGAGAAGGGGAGGTGGATGTGGATCCGCAAAATAACGGTTTCCAACAAGATGGCAGGTGGGGATTGCGAGGGATTTTCTTGTCTTTTCAAATGCTGGCAGGTGGGAACTTGCCTTTCTGCCGTGCATCCTCTTTCCCTGTGCTCTTTCTTCACCATCGCAATCACTCTTCCTTTGTCTGACCGTCACCCACATGCCTCTCCGCCGTTTCTCCCTTCTGCTGCCAACCCCACCGCCACCAGTGATGAGGATGCTGACAACCCCGAGTCTGCACCAGCAACGGTGCCAGGAACCCACTCCCCCCCTCTCCACCCGCCCCACCCATCCCACCTTCCCATTCCCCTGCCCTCCCTCCACCACCCCCTTCGCCTCCACCCCCACCGGCTGCCCCCACACCAATCCCTCTCCCCCACCGCCCGCCGGCCCTTCTCTCGTTCACCCTCTCCCCCTCTCGGACGGCCGTCTTTGTCTCCGCCCGCCCGCCCGTTGTCCCCATCTGCCCGGCACTGCATGTCACGATCGCCCTCGCCGCCCCCACCACTGCCCCCACTGCCGCCCATCAACGGCACCATTGGCAGCGAGTCTCGCAGGTGGGGTTCTGAGGCTGCTCTAGTGGTACCTTACCTGGAACGCCCTAGTCTCACATGTCAAGTGCAGATAAACTGTTGCAAAAAATGGACCCATATGGGAATGGATCATGTTCTATCCTGTCTGCCTTTGGTCTCGTGTCCAAAAGCTCCCTCCAAGCCCTTATTCCCTTGAATTAGCCTAGAATCCAATTGCGGCTTTTCTGACCGGCCTTAACTCTGTCCTTGCTTGCCCCTCTTCCCAATCGTGCCCTTCCCTGTTCAGGAAACGGCCGCGTGGGTGCATGGACTCGTGTGCACCACAGGCAGAAGCCGGTGCGGATGGGAGGGGGGAGAGTGGCCGTGAGCAGGGAGGGGAAAGCAGCGGAGTGGCAGCAGAGGGAGGGGAGCCGGGGCCTAGCAGCAAGGCACTTGGTAGAAAACGCAGGTCTATCGAGGGGAGGGGCGTGGATGAGGGCGAGGAAGCAGGAGGGGGTACGAGGAAGGAGAGGAGGCAGTTGAGTGTGGTGGTGGGGGAAGGGGACGGGGAGGGCGCTGGGGAGGACCAAGGGGATTATGGGGATGGCAGTCCCAAGGGGGCTAGTCCCAAGGGTGACAGTCCCAAGAGCGGCAGTCCCAAGGGCGGCAGTCCCAAGGCCGGCAGCCCTAAGGCCGGCAGTCCCAAGGGGGCTAGTCCCAAGGGCGGCAGTCCCAAGGGCGGCAGTCCCAAGGGTGGCAGTCCCAAGGGTGACGGGAGGGTGGGAGGTGTGCGAAGCTTTGGGGATGCAAGCAAGAAAGCACTGTGCATGAGGAAACGGTTCCTGCAGGTGCGCACTCAGGATAACACCACTGCGGTGCCTCTGGGGGAGGTGGCTCCTGGGGGAGGGCCGCCCAAGGGAAGCGGAGGGGCGCAGGGAAGGGAGGAGCCGACTCTTGGTGTGTGCTCCCCTCGCCCTGTGCTCTGTGACCCGTGGCGGAGCGCGAGGGGGAAGGGGCGAGAGCGGGCAGGGAGTGCGGAGGGAGGAGAGGGCGATGGTGCTGATGGTGGTGGTGATGATGGTGAGTGGGCTGTGAGACTGGCTATGGCTGAGGAGGAGGAGGAGAGGAGGCAGGCAGACGGGGCTGATGGGGATGGCAACAAGGGTGGAGGGAGTGAGGGAGCGAGGGGAGGTGGAGGTGTGGAGGGCGAGTGTGCAGGCAGTGAGGTAGCATGTGGGGATAGCGATGTGGGGGGAAAGGGTGGTAGAGATGCAGAGGAAGGAGGGGATGACATGGATGGGGCTGGAAAGGGGGAGTTAGAGGGCCAGGAGGAGGAGAATGCACATGAGGAGAATGCACATGGGGAGAATGCACATGGGGAGAATGCACATGGGGAGAATGCACATGGGGAGAATGCACATGGGGAGAATGCACATGGGGAGAATGCACATGGGGAGAATGCACATGGGGAGAATGCACATGGGGAGAATGCACATGGGGAGAATGCACATGGGGAGAATGCACATGGGGAGAATGCACATGGGGAGAATGCACATGGGGAGAATGCACATGGGGAGAATGCACATGGGGAGAATGCACATGGGGAGAATGCACATGGGGAGAATGCACATGGGGAGAATGCACATGGGGAGAATGCACATGGGGAGAATGCACATGGGGAGAATGCACATGGGGAGAATGCACATGGGGAGAATGCACATGGGGAGAATGCACATGGGGAGAATGCACATGGGGAGAATGCACATGGGGAGAATGCACATGGGGAGAATGCACATGGGGAGAATGCACATGGGGAGAATGCACATGGGGAGAATGCACATGGGGAGAATGCACATGGGGAGAATGCACATGGGGAGAATGCACATGGGGAGAATGCACATGGGGAGAATGCACATGGGGAGAATGCACATGGGGAGAATGCACATGGGGAGAATGCACATGGGGAGAATGCACGCAGTGGTGCAATGAGCCTTGGAGATGAGGCAGGAGGGGCAGATGCACGGACAGCAGCAGCGGGAGGTGCACAAGGTGCAGCAAGGTCGGTGGTTGAGGCGTTGAGGTAGCGAGCATGCTGCGAGCAGCACAGGAGTATCAGGGGCTGCACGCATGTTGCTGCCCCTACAAAAGCATGTCACATGGCAGGTCGGCCTAAGTGCGGGGCAGCTGAGGCTGCACGGCATGCATCAGCAGCACGCACCACGGAAGTGGGTGTGCTAGGGTTTTCAATGGGAGGAAGTGTAGTTTGTATCTCGTAGTGGCTCCCTTCAATAATTGCGAATCCTAAGCTTCGGCTGATCGTTGAAAAACATATCAGAATTAATTAACCTCCCGGTTCCTGTCCCACAAAGCCAATACAAGTCAAAAACAAGGCCATAGACTCCAATTTCCCCTTCAGGGTCACCTCTACCCTCTCTAAACCCCAGACCACCGATCACAACTGCCACGTCTACCAATCATGGTCCACGAGTTGCAGCATGGCAGCAGCGTGCGGGCCTCTCAGCCACGCCACCAGGTCCGGCCCAAACGCCACTAACTTCCCCCCATGCTGCTGCCCCCGCCCCCCCACCCCCAACGGCAGCCCCAGCCGCCCCACCTCCTGCACCACCGCCTGCCTCACCCGCCCCTCCCCCTGCCCGCCCCCTTTCTTCCCCCCCCACCTGCTGTGACCCCCTTGCCCTGTCACCACCACTACTTGGTGTGGTGCCACCACCACTCCCGGCGCCCCCTTCCTCCTCGCTCCCCCCCCTCCTCCGGTCACTCTCACCAGCACTCGCTGCCACGCTGCTGCCGGCGCCAGCTGCACCAGCAACTCCGGCCCCCCTGCTTCTACCCCTGCCCCTGTCTCTCCCTCTGCCCCTGCCCCCGCCACTGCCGTTGCTTCTGCCTCTCCCTCTGTCTCGCTGCTCTGCACGGATCCCCCTCCCCTCTGGCTTGGGTTGTCTCGTTGGTGATGCACCTTGCTCCTACTCCTCTCGTCCACGCTGTCGCTGCTAGCAGCAGCAGCAGAGCCCACCTGCCGCCGGGCAGTGTCATTGCAGTGCACCACGTGCAGCAGCTTCACCAGCCACTGATTCAGCGCCACTGCTGCTCCTCCATACGACAGCCGCCGCACGTCCAGCTGCCACGTGTCGCCGTCTAAGTGGACCAGCTCGGTGGCACCCCCTCTGCCTAGTTGTCTGGGTGTTGTCATCACCTCTCCAGCGCCCTTTCGGCCTGCCACCACCTTCTCTTCACCCCCAGCGGCCGTATCACCCATGCTCCTCTCACTACCGGGGCTGCTGCTGCTGCTGCTGCTGCTGTCAAAGCTCTCACTGCTACTCGTGCTGAAGCTTCTCCTTATGCTGCTGATGTTGTTGCTGTTGCTTCTGCTGTTGCTCCTGCTGTTGCTGTGCCCTGTGCCCACCCACCCAGTGTTGCCCCTCTCCCTGTTCCCCTGTGCGTCTCCTGAGACCTCCCCCAGTCCCTGCATCAACCCAGCCTGCAGGGCGGCAGACAGGACAAGAGCTGCCCTCCGGTGCCGCCCAAATGTCCAGAGGCAGTCTGTGAGAGTGGCAGCTAGCACCTCATGAGCGCGCGTGGCATGAAAGTGAGGCAAGGAGGTGTGTGTGGGAGGAGGAGAGGAGGAGGAGGAAGGGGGCAGTGACGGCTTGGAGAGGAGGAGGTGGATGAGATTATGCACCTGGGGCATGCAGGGAAGCATGGGCGAGAGCAGTATGGAACACGGTTAGCATTGGGAGGAGCGAGGGATAGGGATGCAAAGGAAAGACGAGGGGTGAATGGGAATAGCAAGCTGCATGCAACTCCAGTGGGCAAGAGAGGAGGTAATGGGGGGAGGGATGAGGAAGGCAAGGCAGGCAGACAGTGAAGCATGAGGCGGCATGATGCAGCATGTGTGCGAACAGAGACATGCACCACCACACCCCTTGAGCTCACTCGGAATCCCATACATACTTCCCCCCACCTCAACACACCTGAGCATCGGAGAGCCCGTCTTCCAGGATCAGCCTTGCACATGCCTCTCCCACGCCCCCCTCACTCTCCACCTCCCCCAGAAACCACCTCAGCACGCTCCCCGCCTCCTCCTTCTTCCCGCTGCAGCACCCCGCCACACCCGCCAGCACGCTCGTCACCAGCGCCACATCAGCGCGCTGCTGACACGCCGCCACGTCAGCGAGCACCGACTTAATCAAATCCGGGCGGCTGCGGGCGGCGCAGGAGGAGACGAGGGTAGCGAAGGTGAAGTGGTTGGGAGGGATGGAGAGGGATCGCATCTCCCGATACACGTCCCACACCTCTGCACTCCTCCCAGCCGCTGCATATGCTGCCATGAGAGTGGTGTACGTCACTGTGTTGGGTCGCACACTGGGCCACGGGAACCGAGCCTTGCGCTTGGGAGGCCTCTCAGCTTCGTGCTGCTGTTGGTGTTGCTGCTGCTGATGGCACAAATGGTGTTCTCGCCGCATGCTGAATTCACCTGCTTCTTCTGCATCTCTCACTTCCCCCGCTCGCTCTCCCTCCTCGTACTCTTCATCCCCATCCCAAAACCCTTCCGCAGTCCCATCACTCTCCCCTCCGTCCTCGTCCTCCTCCTCCTCTCCAACCCCTGCTCCAACAACATTCCCTCCCACCCCCAACTCTCCTTCTCCTCCTGCCTCCAACCGCTCTCCACCGCTCATAACTCCTCCTTCCCCGCGCATGAGTCCCAGCACGCCTTCAGCAGCATCAGCATCGCCCTTTAAGGCATACCCATGCATCAGAGCATTCCATGTGCGCACATTCGGCTGCACTGCTGCAACACGCATCCCTTCCCCGTCCCCCCCATCGCCCCCTTCCCCCCCATTCCCCCCATTCCTCCCCACCATCCCCCCCCCGCCCCCCACCGCCCCCAGCAGCAGCTCCTCCGCCTCCTCCACCCGCCCAGCCTGCCCCAGCCCCCACACATACGTCGTCAGCAGGGCGGCGTTCATCGGCAGCTTCTGCGCCGCCCGCACATGGTGCAGGAGCGAGAGGGCGGCGTCAGGGTCGGCATGCAAAAAGTGCATGTGAGCGATCATGTTGACTGATGCCTGTGTGGGGGGCACGCCTCTCCTCTCCATGTCCCTCAGCAGTCTCCGTGCCTCCTTCACTTGCCCGCCATTCACACACGCGCGTATGAGGCTGCTATAAGCTGATGGGCTGAGGGTGTGGGTACGCGGAGGGGATTGCTTGCTGCTGCTACCTGCCTCATGAGCAGTTGCAGCAGGAGCGGGGTTTCCTTCTGCCTTGTCAAGATGCATACTGGCTGCGTCAGCATGTGCCCTGTCCATGTCAGCATGTGATCCGTTCATGGCAGCGTGTGATCCGTTCATGTCAGCATGTGATCCGTTCATGGCAGCGTGTGATCCGTTCATGTCAGCATGTGATCCGTTCATGGCAGCGTGTGATCCGTTCATGTCAGCATGTGATCCGTTCATGGCAGCGTGTGATCCGTTCATGTCAGCATGTGATCCGTTCATGGCAGCGTGTGATCCGTTCATGTCAGCATGTGATCCGTTCATGGCAGCGTGTGATCCGTTCATGTCAGCATGTGATCCGTTCATGGCAGCGTGTGATCCGTTCATGTCAGCATGTGATCCGTTCATGGCAGCGTGTGATCCGTTCATGTCAGCATGTGATCCGTTCATGGCAGCGTGTGATCCGTTCATGTCAGCATGTGATCCGTTCATGGCAGCGTGTGATCCGTTCATGTCAGCATGTGATCCGTTCATGGCAGCGTGTGATCCGTTCATGTCAGCATGTGATCCGTTCATGGCAGCGTGTGATCCGTTCATGTCAGCATGTGATCCGTTCATGGCAGCGTGTGATCCGTTCATGTCAGCATGTGATCCGTTCATGGCAGCGTGTGATCCGTTCATGTCAGCATGTGATCCGTTCATGGCAGCGTGTGTGAGCCGCACCAGTCGCAGCAGGTCAAACAAGTCCCGGCCATCCCGTGCCATGGCTCGCAGCATCAAATCCAATGACTCTGAATCCGGACACGGCAGTCGGTGGCAAGTCAAGGAGTCACCACCATGCATCCCTGCTGGTGCATCCAATTCCATGGGAGGACCAGGACTACCCATGAGGAATTGCATCCATGGATCGTACCCCACTTCTGCCCTGCTCTCCCTCCCATGCTTTCCCCCAGCACCAGCTCTCTGCTCCTCCAACCCAGCTCCGACCTCTAGTCCGGCCTGGGCTGTGGTGTGCAGGGTGGGATGGAGGGAGGAGCGGGGGAGGAGCGCGAGGGAGAAGAGGTGCTGTGCGTGCTGGTGCAGGCCCGCTGCTAGGAGCGATTGCAGGAGCAGGTGGAGCGAGGAGGGGGTGAGGGGAGGAGGGGAGAGTGATGGTGCTGAGAGGGCCGGCGATGGGCTTTGTGGTTGTAATTGGGATGATAATAATGTTGGTGATGATGGTGACGGTGATGGGGATGGTGATGGCGATGGGGATTGGGTTGAAAGGAAGGCGGAGGAGGGATGCGAGGGGGGTTCAGGGGAAGGAAGGAGGACAGGGCGGATGAGAGCAGAGAGAGCCGCGGGGCTGAGGGGGTAGCGATGGGGGGTGGAGTCGGATAGGAAAGTGAGGGCGAGGGGCGGGGCGGAGGGAGAGAAGAGGGCGGAGGAGTGAATCGCCTGCAATAAGGCCACCTGGTGGGAGGGGCGGTGTGGGTGGGCAGAAAGGGGGGAAGCAGAGGCAAGGGTGGACAGGGAGAGGGGTGAGATGGATGAAACGAGAAAGGGGTGGGAGGTGAGAGAGGTTGGCAGGGCGGACAGTGAAGAGAGGGGCAAGACAGGAGAGAGTGGTGGGACAGGAAGAGGTGCAAGCAGAAAGAGATGTGACAATGGGTGAGCGATCGAGGTGGAAGGATGTATGGAGAGTGATGGGTGAGATGGAGGGAGGGCACGTACAGACAGGATGGAGAGAGGGCACGTACAGACAGGATGGAGGGAGGGCACGTACAGACAGGATGGAGGGAGGACACGTACAGACAGGATGGAGGGAGGGCACGTACAGACAGGATGGAGGGAGGGCACGTACAGACAGGATGGAGGGCTGCATGGATGACGAGGAACGGTGGGATCCAAAGAGCTGTGGAGCATCCAACGGCTGTGAGAGGTCCAGATGCTGCATGGCGGATCCTAACAGACCTTCCAGCACCCCTTGAGGTGATGATGGTGGTGATGGTGACGATGATGATAATGATGCTGGTGATGAGGCTAACGATGCTGATGATGGAATGTGCATCTCTGCCCGGGCTTCTCCTGGCACTTGGGGTGATGCAAGTGGCACGGCCCCTAGAGGCGGGACGGAGGAGAAGGCGAGGACAGAAGGCGAGTGGTGGACGGGACTACTGCCCTCAAGAAGATGCTCCGCTGATGTGATAGAGTGGTGATGCACGGTCGAGTGCGGTACGATGCGAGTTAGAATGGCCTCAAGTGCGCTGCTGCTGCTGGCTTTCCTGCTGCTGTAACCATTACTGCTGGTGTTCTCGTTGCTGCTGCTGTCAATACTGCTGCTGCTCTCACTGCTCCCCTTGCTGCTAGAGCAGCTCTCCGCATGACATGTGGCATCCACGAGCCCATCCACGTCATCCATCACCACCACTCGTATGTCAGACAGCAGGGCTGCCACGTCAGGGTTTAGACTCTTCTCCTGCTGCTGCGTCACGAGATGCTGCTGCTGCTCCTGCTGCTTCATCGCGCTTTGAGGCCGTGGTTCTTCCTGCAACAACGCACCACCAACCGCCTCCCCATCATGAACATAGCCCACAACTTCCCCCCTATGGTGTGTACCCGTCAATGCAGCATTGACAGGAGATGCCACTGCAAGCATTCCTTGAGGCGGGGATACAGGTGCATCAGGAGCAGAGAGGGCGGGCAGGGAGTCAAAGAGCGCCAGGAGCTGCTCGGGAGTCAGTACCACAACACCCCCCCCACCTCCCCCCTCTCCCGCTCCCTGCAACCCCTGCCCGCTCCCCCCCTCAACCCCTCCCCATATCGCCTCCCCCGCCCCTGTCTCAACGTCTTCCCGCCCTAACCCGCTTCCAGCGTCCCCAGTTCCCTCTCCTCTCCCCCCGCCCCCCACCCCTCTGCCCCCATCCCCTCCCGCACTCCCCAGCTCGGAGTGCAGGCGGAGCAGGCGGTCAGGGGAGCAGAGCACGAGCACAGAGGGGGGGGAAGCGGTGGCAAGCACGGGTGGAGGGGGAGGCGTGGGCTGGCTGCTGGCCCCTCTGAGCGTTGACGATACGGCCTGCCTGTACGAATCGTCAGCTAAGACGTTTCCCGACTCTCCCTCAAGCTCCCTGCTTGTGTTGCCACTCCCCTCCCCGCTGCTCCCCTCCCCACTACTCCTCTCTCCACTGCTCCTCTCTCTGCTGCTTTCCCTGCTCCCACCTCTGCTGCGGCTGCTGCTGCGCCCGCTCCTGCAGATGATGCTGCTGCTGCCACCTGTTGTGTACGGATTGGCTGCGTAAGACGCCAACATGGACGCCAGCTGGCATGGGGGATCAAGGGGATGCCGTGTGATCAAAACAAGATGAAATCAGGAAGAATCAGCGGGATCGGATAAAATAACAGACTATTCAGAGAGAGAAAAGGAGAGGAAGATATCGTGCTGAGAGGGAATGGAGAAGATGCAAAGAGCGGTGGGGAGAAAGGAAAGGACCGAGCAGGAGAAAGGGCCAAGGGTGCTCACCACAATCCCGACAGCCGTTCCCGAGCCGGACTGGGCTCGGATGAATGCATGGCGGTTGCCGGCTGGTGGTGGGGTGGGATGGGGCGAGGAGCAGGCGAATATCATGTGACTGTTGTAAAAACAAGCAGAGGAGCAGTGAGGCATAGAAGGAGATGCTCGCTCGGACCAGACTGAGGCTACAGCAGTAGCCGGCCACAGCTCCTCAAAGGGATTTAGCCCACAGGGAAAGGAGGCGTTAGATGGGCAATGAGTGTGGTGAGTGCAGTGAGGTTCAGGCGTACTGCGCAGGAGGTCATGCAGTGAGAAGTGGTTGTGTGCTGCTCTGCGTGCACGCCTGTGTGCCTGCGATGCCGCTGCTGCTACTCTCCCTGCTTCAGATGCCACTATTGCCGTTCCCGTTGCTGCCGCCGCTGCTGCTGCTTCTGCCGCTTCTCTTGTTCCTAGTGTTGCGTCTGTTACTGCTGTTGCTGATAACGACGCTTCTGTTGCTGCGGTTTCTTCTGGTGCTGTTGCTGCTGCTGCTGCCGCTGCATCCACTGCCGAAGCATCCTCAGCAATAGGCCCGCAATCCGCGCTTTCACTCATCTCAACGGTTTCACACATCTCACCAGCTTCACTCGTCCCCGCCACGTGCGCTGGCATCTGCTGCCACCCGTTACCCCTACCCACAGACGACCACGCCCGACAACCACCCGCCCTCGCCGCACATGACGCTACCGGGACGACGGCACTACGCGCTTTGCCTTGCACGGCGACGCTGGGGCGCGACACGTGGCTCTGTGCGTTGTTGCTAGGTGGCAGAGCGGGAAAACAGCTGGACAAGTGAAGGCTCGAGACGGGAATCGCCGCAGCAAAGGGAGTACCGCGACGCCCTAAGAGACTCCCCGCGCGCACCGGGATAGACACCCGCTGCGGATCTCGACGCAGTGCAATGGGCCAGAGAGTAATAAGGGACCCCGGAGGTATCCTGTGTCTCGACCGCAGTGCGTCATTGGCCTTTGATCCCGTCCGTGCGACGCGCGTCAGGTTATAAGCTGGGACATGCGAAGGTGATGGTAACAGCAGTAACTGCTCCGTTTTCGCTGCATCTGGCCGTGCAGTGGCAGACGCGGATTCGCAGCGCGATGGGAACGTTCGAGCCGTGAGGGAACTCGCATCTCTCCAGCACGACTGTATCACCTTTCGCCTCGCCATCCCGAATCGCGAAACGCAGATAACTAAGGGGTCAGAGACATGTCAGCTGCTGCAGAGCCAATATGGTAGCTACACAACGTGGCGACGGGTGTGGGAAAGGCAACATCTATAAAAGAAGCGAGTTCTACATGATATTGTGGAGAAGATCCTCGGGAGGCTGGTATAAACTAGGAGCCTCTGCTGGATTTGGAGAGCTTTTGTTGGAAACTTCTAGCTCCACCACTATCCACCACTTATCTCCGCTTTGTGTCGCTTCTCGATGATGGTTGTAGCCCGTGGAATTTCAGTACTTATAGACTTTCTAAGCACCTCCCTACAAAAATCGTAGCACCTCTTCAAACTGCAAAGCTGGAACTGGATATTTGTTTGTAGACACTAACATGTCCACGAATCTGTATTATAATAAAACGAGTCACTCCATGAACGTGGTCGCCATTTTTCTCGTGATGACGGAGAACACGACGATCTATTTGTCTCTGCTGCACCTAGTCCGCGGTATTTTAACCGCCACTATCTTAACCACGCGAGGGTACTTCTCCTTGGTCAAACTTTTTATACGAGTGTTTCGAAATTTATTGAGAGTAGAATCTAGCATACCCTTTGTGAGACGACGGCAGTCAAAACCTGGTCAATGCCGATCCGCCCTCTGTTTCCGAGCACTAAGTGTGAGTTTCTTTAGAAGGAAATGCTTCTGGCTGCAAAACAATAGCCTTGAAGTCTCTGGCTGCCCATCTCATTACCCGAAAACTAACAAAGGGTGTTTGAAGCGAAACAGTTCACGTGGTTAAAATACCGCGGACTAGGTGTAACTGTTTCGTTGTCGTTTCTGACCACTGAGGGACAGATCTGCGGAAAGTGGCACGGGAGGGGAGGGAGGGACGTGGTGCCTGATGAACGTGCTGGCGACGAGGGTGCCTCTACCGTACTAACATCCCTAGAACCGCGTCAAACATTTTCTTCGATCCCGATTCCGGAAGCACACGAAACACCCCTTTTTCACCGATCACGTGATGAACCTGTGTGCCTTGCGTTGTGTGAGGAAAATGCTGCCGCATGCGCAGCTGCCCACTAATGCCAACCCAACCCGACCTAGCAAACAGAACCCATCCTACATCGATCCGAGTGAATAAGAGCGTGTCCGAAGTGAAACGTGGATGGATGTCGGGGGATGTCGGCGAATCCGGACGGTCGGAATCCCCGATCCGAGGGCTGAAATTCATCGACATCCCCAAACGGATGTCAGCGGATGTCGACGTTTCACTTCGGACACCCCCTAAATGGCGACAGGTTACCTCACCCTCACCGCACGAGGGCCGGCCACGAGTGTAGCACATGGCGTGAGATCTTTCTTGGTCGACACGACGAGAGGCGTATATGATCTCGCAAGAGATGGCTTGAAGATAAGGTGGGCTCAACAGTCGTTTCAAAGAGTCAGTCTCCGATTTTTTCTCAACGCCGCAATTTCTTCCTCTTAGTCTCCCATCCACTACGCCGTGACACCGAGTACACCCTCTTTCTCACCTCTCTCACCGGCGGAAGCACTGGCTACAGTGTTTGGACGTAGCGGGCTGGTGAGATAAGTCGGTTGCGGGCAAAGTCGCACGAGGGTTTGAAACACGCCTTGGGCCGTAAAAAACCATTAACGTTGAATAACCGTCCTGACCGCTTTGAAAACAACAGTACCATTGTAGAACGTAGAAAACCTTGACTAAACGCCCTGGGTCAAATTGTCACTGTAACGCATGTGATAGGACCTTCTTTGGTCCGGTGCGGCTACACTAAGCGTCTCGGTCAGTATAACATATGCCAGTCTATCGAGAATGAGGGTGTATCCTCAGCTTTCTTGTAACGTGGAAAGATGGAAGGGCCAAGTATTGTCGAGTCGCATCTCTCCCCGCGTTCCTCGCCTCTCGCGTCAACCTTCAAGCGCCCTCATATTTTCGAGGATCTCCATCTCGACGTTCCGCAATCCCCGCCGCTTCGCTCCCCCTCCACCGGCGCCGTCTTTCCACGCTTCAGCCCTCCCAGGTCCAGCAGTGGCGACATTTGTAACCAAGATCGTCAAATTTGGTGCGAATGGCGTCCGGCGACCATTTCCGTCGTCCGCAGCCCGAGCGCGGCTCTCGTGTCGCATCTAGGCTTTGCATCGGCGGAAATGGATCGCATGTGGGTGGAAGACGAGAGCCCACCGAACGAGTCTCTGCGCCCCGACCGCGGCGATGATTCGGATTCGCCGCGGTGGTTCTGGGGGGCGAACAGGGGAAGGCGCACCGAAGCAAGGAGGTCCTCTTCCGATTCAGAGCGTACTGTTGTCGTCCGTGCTCTCGTCCTCGTCCCTGGCAGCAGTAGCGTTGGCAGCAGCAGCAGCGCGCGATCGCCGGCATTGGGAAGTTATCGCAGCAGCAAGCTTCAGGTTTTTTCGCAGGGTTATGTTACCACAAGGGTGGAGGAGACCGGTGGAAAGGCGTATCCCGTCTATTCGCCGCAAAGCACCGCTACCGCTCCCCCAGCAACGGTGAAGCCTCGTTCTAACGGTCATTGGGGATCGGATCCGGCTGCGGGCAGAACGGAAACCCCGCATTGTCTGTGCTTTTCAGAATACACCGGCGTCCATCGCCGCACATGCAGCCTCCAGACACGCCTTTCCAGCCATCGAAACAGCTCTTTCGAAACAATTGTCGTGCGAAGACGAGCCTCTCTAGACGGGGAGAAAGGCCTCGTCAGCTGCTTGGCTGGCAGCCCCAGATCTCGAGGCAGGTGTGGCTTCGCAGGTGTTCGGCGCCGCGTGTCGTTTGACAAAATGGTTCACGTGCGCTACATCGGCGTGGCGGATAAAGGCACCCCCGTCAGGTGCAGTGCAGATTCCGCTGGAAGCAGCTGGAAAGGTGATGGTCGGGGCGACTGCATGACGGTTGATGCGTCTCCCGTCTTGAAGGCCACATTTGAAGGTGATGGCGGAGGTGAAATGCTGCCGGTTGGGGATCGGAACGGAGCAAAGAGCACCCAACAAAGGTGGCAATCGTGCACTGAAAGCTATCCAGCAGTGCCCTCGGCCCAGCTATCTGACGATCTGGATGGTCTACTGCCAGAATGCAAGGTTCTTAGCTCAGAGGAGGCCTTGCCGCCAAAGCCCGGTTTCCCACTACCGCAAGAGCTTATGGAACTACCAGACTGCCCTTTTCTGACTTCCTCGTGTTTTGTCCGAATGGGCTCAGGATCGAATGGTAGCATCTCCACCATAAACTTTCCTTGTTTTGTCCCATCATCACTTCAGTGTGGTCTCATGAAGACTAGGACTTGCATTGCTTCTCTGGCATCATGAAAGTACCATATTACCCTTTGTGCCTTCTTAAGGGTACATTCCTGTATCGACACAAGTGTCTCAATGCAGTCACAGAACCAATGTACCGTTCTGCACCGCATCACACCTAAGAATCGATCATCTCCATTGACTGTATCTTGTCGTTTGAGACGCGAGGCTTTTGTGACGCGCTTCAGGAATGCACCTAAGTACAGGAGAGGCAAAACATGACCCTAAGTACTACCCTGTGGTATGATGTGATGTGTGATGTGATATACATGACATGCAATACGTCTCTGTATAACAATTTTAATCAGAAGCCAAATGAAATTGAATAAACTTGTACAGGCTGATAACCTGTATCAGCCGTATCCCCCATATACCATAATTTCTTGTCATCTTCGTGCCCTTCCCCTATTTCCCCAGCACTTCCTCCTCCTGTCATCGAAGAGGGGTTGACCTAAGTGGTCGTCGCTTTTCGCCTCCTCTTTTCGCAAGGTTGCAGACATTGCATAGAAACGCGTTTTTAGTTTCGCAACGCGACAACGAAATAGTTCGTCAGACTTGTCTGTCGCAATTTGCCCATCACGTTGTCTGACAAAGGTTTGTCCATTTCACCCTTCCCCCTCATCAATCAACTAGCTTTGACTCAAGGGTCATCGATTTTCTGCTGCAGCTCAATAGGCGCACAATGCTCGTTCTGTCCTTTTTCGCGTTGAGCTGACCTTCCCTGTCTGACAGGCGAACCGCCCATACTGCGCCATCCAGAATGTCAACTCAGATATCGCCACGCCATTATCCAACTGATTGCCTGCACAGCCCCCGCCCGCAGGAGCACCGACGAAGCGGGACGTTCGAAGGTGGATACACGAGTTGTGGTGTCACTGGTACGTATTTGTATTGCTCGAAATGCTTACGAGATCAGTTCGCGGCTGCAATAGTTTCTCGCCATGGAATCGTCGGCTGACTTAGAGACTTCAACCAGCAATCAGCGCCGCTCAGGCAGGATATCTCGCAATGAAACAGCATCGCTAACCTACTCACAGCACCGTCGATCCAAACCCGTCCGCGTATCTTCGCCGCAGCTGTTCTCAAAGTCCCTTTCCCTTGACGACATCCAAGGCACAGCCGCAAACGCCAGGGGCCCGCCAGCGACCACTCGGCGCCATGCCGCGAGGCGGAGTCTCGACATGGATCATGCTGCGAGAGAAGCGAAGCTCCAACGAGAAAGCCGCGACGACGCGACTGATCCGCGAACGAAGCTGGTAGAGGATTTAGGCGACACCATTCTGACCCTGGTGGTCGGCAGTACTGCCAAGGTGGTGCTTCTGGTCGTTCCATTCTGCGTTCCTCTTCACTTCCAATGTTGGTTGAACAATCTTATGAAATAACTCCAGAAAGGAGTGGCGCCCCTGAGAGTGAGGACCTTCAGAGGCTGCAGCAGGCAAGGCCAGCGCGCCGAGTCACCTTCAACAAGCTGGTGGAAGTCAGAGTTGT